TTTCTTTCTTTCTTTCTTTCTTCCTTCCTTCCTTCCTTCCTTCCTTCCTTCCTTCCTTCCTTCCTTCCTTCCTTCCTTCCTTTCTTTCTTTCTTTCTTTCTTTCTTTCTTTCTTTCCCCTTTCCCCGGTTTTCTCCAGTCCTAGGCTCCTGCCCTTCTTCTTGGCTGGGCAGCCTAACAAGCAAGCGTATTGAAATTCCTGAATTGAAAAGCAAAGGAACATTTCAAATACCCGTGTTTGCTAGTGTGCCTAAAAGCAGAGATTTTTTTAAAAAAAAATTATTAAAGCAGTATTTTCCTACTAAAAGTGCTTGTAGACATTTTACAGCGCGATAACAAAATATACCGTGCCTATGAAATGCAAGAAATCATAATGATTTTTCTTGGGTCTCTCCTGGCTTAGTTGAACTTTTTCCGGAGGCAAGGAAGGGGACACAGGCAGGCAGGTTAGAGTAGTGGACAAGGCAGAGGACCAGAAACTAGGTGAGTCAAGGCTTAACCTCACATTTGCTGTCCATTGCTTATTTGTCTTTGTGTAATTGTCTTGCTTCTCTACACCTCAGTTTTATAATGTGTAAATTCAAAATAATATCATTTCTGTGACTATGAAATGGTACTCAGAATAATTATCCAGCTGTGGTGGTGCACACCTTTAATCCTGGCACTTAGGAGGCAGAGGCAGAAGTATGTGAGTTTGAGGCCAGCCTGGTCTATGTAAAGAGTTCCAGGACAGCCTGGACTACACAGTGAGACCTTGTCACCCTGACAAAAAAGGAGGAGGTAGAGGAAGAGGAAGAGGAAGAGGAAGAAGAAGAGCAGCAGCAGCAACAACCACCACACAATCCTTGATGCAAACTAAATACTGTATGAATGTTAACTATTTTTAACTTTGCCATGCTGGGCATCTAGCTAGACATTTTCTTTCCTAATTTCATAAAAAGTTCACAGCACACACGTATGCGAGGCCCTAACCCTGCATTTTGCAGGTGAGTTTGTGGCTCAAAGACATTTAAACAAGTTGTTGATGTTCACTAGGCTAGTAAGCAACAGAGTCTAACTTCCAACCAAGGCCTGTGTCCCAGAATGCTCTCCCAAGGGAAGGAGTCAACCAGAAAGCCTTTAAGGGCTTCTCTGTCGCTGGGATTAGCCTATCTTGCAAAAGATCTTTGGATGAAAGTCTAGAAATCAGAGAATCTCAAACCAAAGAAGATCTCCTATGTGGAATCTTAGCTGGACATAGCAAGAGATCAAAAGTATAACCTTAAAGAAACAAAGAGACGGGAATCACTCCTCTCATTTTCCAGCCCAAACTTCATATATTTAATATTTCTAGCTAGATTTTATATATTTCATTACGTTCATTCACTGTTTCTAAGTTCAAAAAAAAAATAAGGAAAAAATTAAACTCACAGAAGAGTCATTGATGTGGGCTCCAAACCGCACAGGAGAAATGGCAGTGTCCTCTAGTTTTCAAACTTGCTATGTTCTTTTTTTTTTTTCTAGAAATATGAAACTAATGTTGGGAGCCAGGGCTCTCAGCTGTCTCGAGGGGAGAAACAGCGCATTGCTATTGCTCGGGCCATTGTCCGAGATCCTAAAATCTTGCTACTAGATGAAGCCACATCTGCCCTAGATACAGAAAGTGAAAAGGTACGTGTTAGTTTTCTTAACTCTTAGGTCACTAGAGATGAGTCTTTGCTGGAAAATGTGTACACATAAAATGACACTATTTTCAGTTGTCTTATTCATTTGTGGCAGAAACTGACAATATTTTTCTTTGGAAGCAAAAACTAGTAATTTATAAATAACAGTCTAACAGGGCTATTGCCATTAAAAAGAACTGTACTTTAAAATAATTGTTCTATAAGGTACTTTAGGTTAAATGACATTTTTTTCCAAAGGCAGTTTTCTTACATAAATTGAAACAATTTATGTAATCTGTGAAACATAACATATTTTTATAGTTTTTAAATTATGTGACAGAGTAAGTAGGCTGTACACAACACCTAAAAGGAGGTGGTAGCCATGTGGAGTTTCCATAGTAGAACATGTAGCTGAGAGAAGAACAACTGTGAATTCAGAGTTTATGATCTACATCTTTAAAATAGAGATTCTACTTTGGAATGCACTCAAGTGTCCTCCATGAAGGGAGTGTCAGAAACCATTAACTGCCCCATGCTTTGCTCTTTGGTTTTATCTTAGTAAATTGGACATTTCAGTATTGTAAAATCACACAATGACATAGTATTTAGCTCATTCTTGCTTCACTGAACTTTCTCAGTGCGTGGGCTGCAATTTAAATAAAGCATAGATGCATTGTCTGTACAGCCATTTGCTTACTCCCCCTTAGTGCTCAGTCTTTGGGGTCACCCCTAAGCACAGAGCTGTTGCTCAGGTGGTATTTGAGATGGACCCTCACAGTAGTGGACGGGGAACAACCCTGTGTCTTTGCATTGACTCTCCATCTTCTTTTTGTAGACTGTGCAGGTTGCTCTGGACAAAGCCAGAGAGGGTCGGACCTGTATTGTCATTGCCCATCGCTTGTCTACCATCCAGAACTCAGACATCATCGCCGTCATGTCACAAGGGGTGGTGGTTGAAAAAGGGACCCATGAAGAACTGATGGCCCAGAAGGGAGCATACTACAAGCTGGTCAGCACCGGAGCCCCCCTCAGTTGACCCGACTCAGGACCCTCACACACAGATAATAATGGATCAAGTCCAGGAGGGCTGCAGGTTGTGGTACTTCTACAGAGAATCATTAATGTTTTACAGATATCATCATGCACTGGGATCTAAGCTAATTTCGAGTGACCTTCAGTAATAATTCAGTTTGAAATGTCTATGTAGAAAAGAGAGAACCTAGGGTCAGAGTGAGTGAAAATCCAAGGTCAGGCAGCCACTCACCTACTACCAGTGATGCTCTGGGTGGGAGCTGATCGTTGTCATCATCAGGACTTAGTGAGAGGACATGGAGTCCTCCTCTGGGACAGAGAACTAGCTTTTGACTTGTGAAAGCTCCTTGTGCACTGAGCCTGCTGAGTGATCCGCACTCAACAGTTGTTGGAAACAGATCAAGGTCAAGAACAGAGGACATAAGGCTATTGGTATTTCTTGATTAAGGTTTATTTGTTTTCTATAGGGAAGCAAATCCATTTACCTCTGATCCCGTGGGTACAGAAAGGAGCACTTTCACATTCTGGAATCTCTCAGGCTGGGGGAGGGAGGGCAAAAGTGAGCTAAGGAATAGAAGAGGTTACCCGTCAGGTGTACTGACCTAGACTGGAGACTCAGGGTGTTGGTGTCATCACACACCACAGCTGGATCTGCCAGTGTGGAGCAGGACTGTCTTCCCGGACGTCTACTCTTCATTCCCTGGCCCTGTATCGCCCGATGTCCCTTATTCCTATGAAGTCCTAGTCATGGAGTGGAAATGCACCAGCTTCCGAAGTTGTTACATAATAATCTAGTTAAACATTGTAGAGAAACATCCACGTTTGTCATTTTCTTCAGAATACCACTAAACACCACTTCTTATGGTATCAAAGAAGGCATGTAGCCTCAGCAATAAAGAAAATTTCAAAATCATGCCAGGAAAGAAAAAAAATGTGTGAGCTAAATTTGTGACAATGGATTTCAAAGACGAGAGAAAACTGACATGTCATCTGTTAGCTGGGCAAAGCCTGGAGGCACTTGCCTACCACAGGCCCCTGGGAAAGGCTAGGATAAAAAATTTTAAGGTTCCTTCTGGAAGGAGGAGGCAGAGAGACAGATGAGCCCAAAGTTAGACTTCTTACACAGGCTGAAAACCTGTGTAAATTCTGTGAAGCAGGCTGACAGTCCTTGTCCAGTTAGTTCCACACGAACACCAGCTCCTGCCTCCCTTGCCCACAGGCAGGCTTGAGTGCAGGGACATAAACTACAGCTGAAGGGGTGAGTCATCTGCAAGAGATGAGGGACTAGGTAGGAGATTTCAGATGAACAGAAAATCGTGCAGCTGCCCTGTCTGGCAGGGCATCAAAGAATTACTCTCTGGCTGGAGCAATTGGTCAGTATAAAAAAATGAAAGGTCTATGGTCTGGTGCTAGGGAGACAGCAAGGAAAATTCCCTGTCCACCCACCACCCTACCCTGAAGTCCAACAACATGCTGCCACTGAGGCTGCTCTTCTCTGGCTGTTCAGTGTGTGTCTCTCTCTCAGGAGGACACAGACAGGCTAGGATCAGTAGGATACACTTTAACACGTAAAGCAAAAGCTACCACAACAGAGCACCAGGGGAAAGGAAGTGACAGGTAAGAGACCAAGCAGAGCTTAGGAAAACACTGAGGTGAGACAAGACAGTTCCGTCTATTCAAATAAAAATAGGGGTCTATGAAAATGACTACACACACACACACACACACACACACACGCACGCACGCACGCACGCACATGCATGACACTCACATGCACGACACTCACATGCATGCACACACACATGAATACATTATACATACACACACATTAAATATGTAGAAAACAGCTCATGATAAAGAAATGAAAAATTAAATAGCAGGACAGCTCAAGGCCTGGGCCATCCTGTCATGGCAACACCTCCTCTCTTCCATCTTCCTCCCAAGTCCATCCTGCTTGTAATTTCATCTGCCCGTGCCCCCAATGAACATCTGCAGAGAGAGGAAGACTGAGCTGGGATGTTTTGAAGTGGACGATTATTGTCGCTGCTGTTATTTGTCATTTGGTATTTCCTGGCACATAACCGCAAAGGTGGGTTAGCAGGTTAACCTGAAAGGTCAGAATTGCTGAAAGTGCCACGCCGGGGAGGCAGAGGGTGGAGGAACGCCTCGAGTTATGGAAAAGAACCCGGACAAGTATGTTTCAGGATAAGTGACTGCAAGGAACTAAGCCCTGTAGTAAACACGGGCCCCTCCTCAACTCTTGAATAAGGAAGACTACAACTCACTTGTTTAGGTTTCCAGAGAGGAGGCTGGGGTGTTTTCTGGGAGGTTGCCTGTTTCCTGGGAAGGCATCTGTGGGGTGTGCAAGAGGAATGAATGAAGTTGTCCTGTTAAATAAAGTAATTCTAAGTAATTGATGAGAGGGAGCGGACTGACCGGACAAGTCGCTTCTGGTTGTGGTGTTTATCGCAGCAACAGAAGCCTGACGGATACAACTGATCCCCTGATTCTTCGTCCAAAGCTCTGTCAACTTTAATTGCTCTGCATCTGCTCTGCGTGCACATAGAATAAAGCATCTCAGCGACAGGAGACCATGAATTTAGAGCTGCATGCAAACACGCATCTTTGGCAATGGGAGTATTCATTTAGAAATGGGGGGCCTGGAATATTTGATATTGTGTCCTAGTAGAGAAAAAGGCATGGGATTTCAGTTAAGAGTATTTTGTCATATATTAGTCAAGAGCTAAATTTCACATTTCTGTGTTAAATATCGGCAGATCTGTGAGGTGGCTCAGTGGGTGAAGTCACTTGCTGCCAAGCTGATGACCTGAGTTTGATCTTCAGGCCCCACATAGTGGAAGAAGAGAACCATAACAGACTCCTACAAGTTGTCCTTTGACCCACATACACATACCATGGTGCATGCATGTGTGCACAAAGGCATTCATGTGTATGTGTGCACACACACACAGAGGGAGAGAGACAGACAGACACATATGCACAGTAAATACATAAATATAGTTTTTAAAGCTATTTACCTTTTTAAAAAAAGAAGAAATGGTCAGAACATTTTCACAGGGCTGGCTTTGGGTCTAATCTCATTCATTTACCTAAGGGTTTGGTTGATTATATATTTCTTATGCATGCAAATCTCTCTGTAATCAGGCCACAGAAAGATGTCAGTAGAGAATTTTAAAAGAACTGCAAATTTCATTGCTGTTTCCTCGCATACTTAGAGAGCAATTTGCATACACACAGGCACCATTGTAAAATAGGCATTATGTTCATTTGTATTTTTCTGAATTTCAAGAGCAAGTGAATAATCTCACCTGCATCTGAGATGACGAGTGAAAGGAACTTCAATAAACAACTAAACTCAATTGCAATTTCTTTCAAACTGTGTTCAATTAAATGCCCAATTAATTTAAATGGATAGACTGTAAATAAAATAATGCACATGATTATCATCTAATTAGCACTGGCCAGCATTAAAATGTGCTCATTAGTGAGTTGTATAGTATCCTAAGGCTCATAATTAGTAATCAGGGTGTACGTGATTGGCATGGGTAGCTGCTGGGATGTAGCTCCTCAACCCAATAAATCAGAGTTAGGACGAAATGTGCCTTATAAAAGAAAAGAGGGATGCACAGCCAGCTGGTGAATCGACAGTTTTCTCCTCTCTATAATTCAGTTGCAATTCCTACTCTCAGACACAAAGAGATAAATCTAAGAACAACAGAACCTCTACAGAAAAAGAAAAATGTGCACTCAAGATGAAACAAGAGTCCCAATAATTACCATGGAAGAATACAAAAAGGGGGAAAATGTACAAAAATACCCCTTTGTGTTCATTCGCTGGGAGTACGGAGTTCTATTATACGAAGTACAGACTCAAAGTAAAGATAAGCAAGGTCTTAAACTTTCATGAAAGTTGAAAATTCTAATAATCACTTCAACATGACTGTAACGCATTTTGTAATTGAGAGAGTATACCTTGCCTTTACAATTTCAGTATGTTAGTGTGAAATTAGCAGGCTGCAGCGGACAGGCACAATGGAAGTTTTATTTGTTGTTTTTATATATAGGAAGCCATCATGGCAGGTGCTGTTGATTGGCTACACTGTTTCCCTTTGTTTTCTCTATTACAAGGGCTGGAATTTCTTTACCTTTTCAGAATCTCATGCAGCTAGCGGTCAGGTGATCCTGGCAGGCTTATGAAACACAGACACTAGGCTCTGTGGGGGCTTTTCCTTCCTAAATAAAGCCTGGACAGGGAAAACAGCCGTTTCCCTTCTTGCCTGGATGCAAGCAGCCACACCGTGGTCTTTTGGACAAAGACTATGGCACACTATGGTAGCAGAGGAAAAAAGACAAAGCCTGGTTCCTCTTTCCCCTAACTGGTCACCAGCCTTGGCTCCTTTCCTCAACCACCTTGATAAAAGACAAAAAGGCACATTTTGCTTGCATAAGGCCCTGGAATAGTTTGTTGTGGTTGTTGATTGTGAATAAACACAACTTTAAAACAGGTTCTTATTTATGAGAATATTGAAAAATAAGTATATGGAAAACTAAGCTATACTATGCTTAAATGACCCTCAGATATGACCTTTATATTGAGAGGTGTTCTAAAATGATTTTTGCTTTTTTTTGTTTGTTTGTTTTTTTTTTTGTTTTTGGAGGCAGGTTCTTGTTATTTAACTAAGTCTAGCCCAGAATGGTCTATATATCTCAGATTACCTAGAACTCAGTTTCTCCTGCCGTAATCTCCAAGTGCTGGGATGACTAGCATGTGCTATCATGTCTGGCTTTTAGAATGATCTCAAAGTTACTAATTTAAAGGAGGAACCAGCTCATCTGCTTGTAAGTTACTATTGTGGAAAGGATGGTGGATGTTCCTGTAGCTTATTTTAGTGGCTTTTCCAAAATATTTCACCTCCCCTGCTTTAAATAAAGGAAGTTGTTAATTAGGTACTTCATATGACATGTTGGAACTATGATGGTTATATTCTCTATCCCTCATTAAGTGTATTGGGCTTACACTGGGAACATCTATGTTGTTTGAATCTTAAATGGTCTTATAATAAAAAACCCAGAGCCAGATATCAGGGTGAAAGCTGAAAGATCAGAAAAGCAGAGCAAGCCACAGCCACTACATATTACCTCACCAACTCCACGAATCCTCTGAATGAAGTCCTCTGAGTCCTCACCCGAAAGGGTCTCAGCTGAGCTGCTTTAGCTCCTGTCTCCTCACGCCTCCCGAGTGCTGGGATTAAAGGCGTGCACCACCACCACCACCCGGCCCTTTGAACAGTTTTTGAGATTGTTTTCTAATATTTCTTTTTCATGGTCATTCTCAAATGCCTTGGTGTCATAACATTAACTGATAGAGTTTTGTTACATTCAGGAAGCGCTTTTCAACAGCTTGAAAAATTAAAATATTACTTTATCTTTATATTTTTTAATTAAAATAATTACATCATTTCCCTCCTCTTTTTCCTCCATCCAAACCCTCCATATCGCTTTCAAATTTTTGGTGTTTTTTCTCAATAATTGTTGCTACATACACAAGTTTATATTTGTATATATTCCTAAATACATAAATGTACCTTGCATAGTCTGTATATTGTTACTTGCATGTCAGTTTCCAGGGCTGATCATTTGATACTGGATAACCAGTTGGTTGAGAGATGCATAATCTGTAAACTTATGAAAATATTAGTTCAAACAGAGTCATTTTCCTTACCCAGCAAACATCTCCAACCTCACAAAAAAGTTCCCTTTCACTCATCCTAGTATTTTTTTTATATCTGCTAAGTATCTTGCTCTTCTAGCAAGAATTTCCATCTTAAGGTGTTGAGGAAGAATGGAATTGGTAATTTAATTATAAGAACAATCAGTGGGCATGAAGTCTATGAATATTCTCATGTTAATAATTTTGCCTCATTATATCAGTTGAATTATTTCACATCTTCATGTATTTCCTTTCATAGCCATAAAACTTGAATTTTAATTGGTATAGAATGTTTTAAAGACCAAAATGCATTTTATAGATCCAAAATTATTTAACAAAAGAGCGAGCAAATTTCAAATCAGATTATGGCCCTTTTAAGAATTGATAGCCTTGTTCATTTCTTTAAGAAAAATTAAAACAGTGTCTATGAAACACATTTGCCACAGCCTTTCCTATCATCTTTCTTGCTCCATTTTATAGAGAAATGGCAACAATATCCCTATAAGTCTTCCACCAGCACAGTGCTTCACTAGAGCAAACAAAAGAGGAATTTGAGGAAGCATTACAGTTTGAATCTAAAATGTCCCTCATAAGCTCAGTTTGTAGATTTTTGGGGTGTTGTGGGGGGTGGCTATAAAACCTTTAACAGACAGGCTCTGGCTGGTGAAAGTGGGTGATGAGTAGGGGTGGTCCTTAAAGTTGATAAGCATTTCCTGTCACCACACGGCTTCTTGATTCATGGAAACGTAAGCAAGCAGCTGCCACCAGCTCTTGCCACCATGGATCCATGTGCTGTCACGCCTTCCCCACAGAGACGCACTGTGTCCCCTCAAACCAGGAGGCAAAGTAAGTCTTTCCTCCCTTAAGTTGGTTCTCGTTGGGCTTTTGGTGGCAGTGACGAGAAGTGACTAATATAGGGAGCCAGAGAATATCATATTTGGTTGAATGTGAACCCGGGTCACAGCTGGAATGAACTTTCCAATCTTAGACTGTGCTATACTCCACACCTTAGTTAAGGCTTTAGGAAATTATTATTCCGCTTAATGGATGATGTATCAAATCGCCTTCTCAATTCATACCTCTCTATCCGTAGATAAGTGTACTTCTCAGACTTCGTCAGAGAAGTTTCTTGGTGTGGTGGATGGTGGTTAATGTAGAAACTCACAACTGCTCAAAGAGAACCAGTGACTGTAGAATGCCCAGCCACAAATGGGACATCTATAGCCAACTGCCCCTCTCCCAAAGCCCAGGGACCACAGAGGAAGAAGAGGTGGATGGACTGGAAGAGCCAGAGGTTGAGGAGGATTGGGGCAAAAAGCTGTTTTCTGAACTGTATTCATGAGCTTGCAGCAGGCGTAGTTGTCTACACATGATCAAACCAGTCATTCCAGCATGGAGGAGAATGGGGTGTGGTTCATAGTCCTCCCGTCCACAGCTGGGGCTCTATGGACAGTTTATTCCTTCTGAGTGAGGGAGAGTCACTTTTCTTTAAGGCCGTGGCCCCTGGTGAGTTGACCAGGCTCCTCATACTCAGGAATACAGGGTCATACAAACCGGACTCACTCAATGCCCTAGTTTGTTTCCTGTCTTTGTATAAACCAGTAACCAGAAATGACTCGGGGTTGGAAGAGGGTTTATTTGAGTTGCAGGTTATAGGCCATCATTGCGGAAGCCAGAGCAGAAGGTGAAGGCAGGTAGGGGTAGATCTGGAAGAGCTTGGGGGAGGTGTGAATATAGGCTCAAATTTGAATGCTTGCTCTGAAGTTGAAGTGGACGTGATTGGGGAGGATTGGGCGTGGCCTTGTTGGAGGTATATTACTGGGGGTGGGCTTTGAAGTATCCAAAGCCTAAACCATTCCCAGTTAGGATGTTCTCTCTCTCTCTCTCTCTCTCTCTCTCTCTCTCTCTCTCTCTCTCTCTCTCTCTCTCTCCCCCCTGTGGGATCAGATATAAGTTCTCAGCTACTGCTCCAGTACTATGTCTGTCTGCCTGCTGCCACACTCCCCATCATGATGGCCACAGACTCTTGCCCTCTGGAACCATGAGCCCCTAAATTAAATGCTTTATTTCATACATTGCTTTGGTCATAGTGTCTCTTCAAAGCAAGAGAAAAATAACTAAGAAGTATGATAATACATCATATGAAGTTCTCAAAGAATAAAAATTTTTTAAAAATATTTAGTAAACTTACACTACCTTTTAAATGGCCTCAGAATGACAGTGTAGAGCTACACTGGAATGTAAGACTGATGGTGCTTGTCCAAAGTGATGACTGATAAACTCCATGAAGTCCTTTGTACATTTACTGCCTTTGAATTTGCTGGCATCTACCCACTGCATTCTAATGCTGTCTGGTATACACAAATTGAGCTATAACTGTGCCTCCTGGTTGGCCAGGATGGGAAAGGCATGACCACATGAAAACTAAGAGAATAAGATGCGCGGTAACACCCCAGGACAGGCAGAATACTTGCGTCTCCTTGTTAAGTCAACACAGTCTTTGGATAAGAAAGCATTGACAGCTCCGCTACTCTTTCGTCCATCCAAAAGTTTAATGGCAGAGCTAGGAGTAATTGTGAAGAAAAAGTATCTCAAGGACTACATGTTTTTACTGTAGAATTGCTAAACTTAGAGATGTCAGCATCTGTCACAGGCAGTGGTGGGTAAAACAGCATCCAGTAAAAGCAGGATGCCTGGTCATGGAAGACAGCCTGGGCAACACTGTTTACAAAACAAAGCCCGGGGCTTGGAAAGTCGATTTTAGAACGAGAGTCAGAATGAGAGTCAGAATGTGACTGAGCCAAATGTGTGCTACAGTAGATAAGAGCTGGGAGAGGGACCGTGCCTTTCATTCGGGGCGGGCTCTTTCTCAGGTACACATGTCTCCTGCTCTTCCTACGTGGTTCCCAGATGATCCCAGGGAAGGGGTTCAGCCCTCATCTGGCCCAGCACCGTTAATGAGATGCTGGGTTTTGGCAGTCAATGTAACCCCTGGGTTGTGCCACAAACCTAAGCCAGCAGGACCCCAACCACCACTTTCTTTCATTTCCCAGGCCTGTCCTGGCAGCCTCTCGGAGGAAGCAACAGTCATTGAACTCAAGGCAGACTAGCTTCAGAAATCACGTGGCAAAATGTTGGAGGAAAAGAAAAGATCCTAAGAAATTCAAAATTTGTAACAGAACAGAATTAATTGGTTTTGCGCTAACCTTTACAACCCCAATCAGAGTTTTCTCCCTACTTTAGGGAGCTCACTTCTCTGCTGTCTAAAGAAATGAGTCGTGGTTCCTTTTAAATTATTATTGTGATCTTCATCAAAGGACAGCAGAGACAGTAATTAGTACTCTTCACAAACCAGCCTCACATTTGACATAAACTGCATTTGTCCTTTGCAGAGCCCAAAATGAAGCATTTATTCTTAGAATTTTCTCATGAGTTGCCACTGGAGTTGCTTCTGGATCTTTCTACCACTCGAGTTCATTTCAAGGAAACAGGAAGAGGACTTTAAAGCATTGATAAAGTAGCATCACCCGACCTTCATGGGGGAAACATCAGATGGCACATTAAAGATAAGGGGATGCTTAGGAATGGCTCCTTAGTTGCTTAGCAACATTAGATTCAGGTATTTATTCAAAAATGCTCCCTACAATTTACAAAGAGACCAAGATTATGAACCAGGGCAAAGTCTTCAGGGCAACTGGATACCTGGAGAGCTTTTGGAAACAGTTTCTGAATGACCATATAAGCACTGGTATCAGACATAAATGTATGCTAAACTAGGAAAACTTGGTCAGAAGGTACTCCAGTTATCCAGAATATGGCCATGAATTATGGGTAAAACACATAGTTTTGTTGCCATTAGGTTCCCAAGACAAGGTGCAGGGAGGATGAAGCCAGGCTCCTCAATGACAAAGCTGAGTTCAGGGAGACCAAGGATGCCAAAGCTCACAGGATGGAGTCAGCGAGAATGGAGTGGAGCCTCTGCAGAGATACATCTGGAAAATGCTGCAGAGCCCAATATTAACCTGCTACAGATTCCCTACCTCACCTTAATGTAGTTTGGGAATAGGAGACTGCCACGGACTGGCCCACCGGGAGTACCACGACCGTAGGAAAATCAGGGCTTGGGTAGTCAGGAAGGCAAGGATTCGGCGACTGACAGACAGACAACAAACACACTCAAAAGTGGTTTGAATCTGCTGCAATTTTACTTCTGCAAATCAGTAGTTTATATACAGAAAAGAAAACTATCAAGTCATACAGGGAACAACAAGAGCTTGGCAATAATTCAATTACATCATCTTTAAAAAACATCAAGCACACAGTTATTAATCGGTGCTAGACATATCCCTTCACTCACAAGAACTTTATGACCCAAAGAGCAGTCTGTGTTTTTTAAACTTAGTACAGTCCCTAGACTTGTGTAGGCTTCTTGTAGCTGTGTCCTTCATCTTTATCTCAGCCGCTCGCTAGTTTATTATTCATTTTTACTTTTCTGGTTCTCATGACCCATTTAGCCAATTTGGATGCTGCAGATCCTCCCTAAGTCTTTCTTCAGTTCTTTACCATATATCTCTTCTAATATAAAACCTTTTTACCTGCTGGAATATGGACACTTGTACTTTTACACCTGTAAGGGGAAAGGGTTCTGCTGTAGTCCTTAAGTTTTCCATGCTGAACTTCCTCAACAGAGGGGCCTACTATCTGCCTCCTATGAGATAATGTTTTCTGTCATAAATCATTTTAGTTGGGATTCCTAGTGGGTGAGTGTTCATTCCCTAGAAGTGCCTGAACTATTATACTTTCTATTATCTAGCGGCTTGAGGCTTGAGGTCTTTAAGAAATAGTTCATTCTGTTATATCTAAATAAGGTCCATGTCCAGCTTCCCCTTTCCTCCATAGTTCACAACCCAAGCATTCATTAATTTTGGCTGTGTTTTATAGATTAATTAGAACATTATCAGAAAAGCAGTTATACAGAACCCATAGCCCAGGGAGCTCATGATCTCTGAAGCACGTCTCCTTCGAGAACGAGACATAACACGGGTACTCTGCCAGGGACCTCCAGGGAGCTTAGTCCCGTGGGACACGTATCTCCCGTCCGCTATTATTGACATAATTGTTCATGTCACACGGACGACACTGGAGTTGGTGTGGCAGGAGACAATATGAATTTTGTTTTGCTTTGTTTTCAAGGAAAAGCACTGTGGAGTTGGACTTGTAATACCCACTTCGGTAGGTACTAGACACACATTTAAATTAACTATGAATAACATTCTATAATATCTGTTAGCTGTTCTTACGTCAACTTGACACACAAACTAGAGTTATCTGAAAGGTGAGAACCTTAGTTGAGAAAATGCCTCCATAAGATCTGGCTGTAATGCATTTTCTTAATTAGTGATTGATGGGAGAGGGCCCAGCCCATTGTGGGTGGTGCCATCCCTGGGCTGGTGCTCCTAGGTTCTATAAGAAAGCAAACTGAACAATCCATGAGGAACAAGCCAGTAAGCAGCACCTCTCCATGGCTTCTGCATCAGCTCCTGCTTCTAGGATCCTGCCCTTTTTGAGTTCCTGTCCTGACTTCCTTCAATGATGAAAAGCAATATGAAGTGTAAACTGAACAAACCCTTTTCTCCCCAACTTGTTTTTGGTCATGGTGTTTCACTGTAGCAATAGAAACCCTAACTAAGACAATAACCTTCCTCGGTTGTATTACCTGCGTTTTAAGAGCTTAGTAGCCACATGAGCCAGTAACTACAATATTATACAGAAGCAAATACCTTTATCATTCTAAAAAATTCAATTAAAAACTTCTGGGGAAAGTAGTTTGAAGATATTTAATGAATCAAAACTTTTTAAATGATTTTTTTTTTACTTTTTTTACCAAGAGTTTTTTGTGTGTCTCCATTTAGTCTCAAATTTTATGTTAAAATTTTGGACCTGTAAAAACTTAAGAGTCTTGAATTTCAAGAATGTCTTATGACGTTTGTAAGCCTTCTGTTGTAGGGACATGCCCACAGCGATGGCACCAACTTGACCTTCTAAGGGAGAAGCCCAGTCAATAGCCTATCAAAAGAAAGTGACTAAACACTCTCCTTGGTAGCTACTTTTAACAATGATAAATTCTCTTGCACTTCTCCTCAAATGCATGTTTGATTGGGACAGCTTCTTAAGCCACTTGTCTAGATTGTATCATGTGACAGCTCATGATACTGACATTTTTCTCTTGAATATGCAGATGTGTAGACACTGTGAATAGATGGATATGGTGAGTCAAGTGAGCTCAATTTTTGCTTATTTCTTGTGAATAAATTGAAATCCGAAGTCTTCTCCATCATGATTAAAATCAGGCATTTTCTCCAAGGCTGTGCAGAGCTGTTCTTCTTGCTGCCTAAGCAATTTCAATCACAAAAGCAAATTGCCTCCATATGGATTCCTCCAAGAGATTTCAACTAGATGGAAAGGAAAGAAATCTCCTCACTGGGGAACTCAAAGGCTTCATGGTAGACAGGGGTCGAGTTGTTGGAGATTAATTATTGAAAATAAGCCGTGCCGCATCCCATTTCCCCTCTGAGCATCACCCGTCATCTAGCAGACAGCTGCGTAGATGACGTAGATGCGTAGGGTAGCTGGAGAAAGCTCCTCTCTGGGAACCCACAGGGAATGCCCTGCCTATTGCTGCCCCAGGCCCCCAGGCCCAGGTGAGAGCAGCTCCGAGTGTGCTGGGATGGAGGATTCAAGAAGAACAGTCCTGACTCTACAGGAAACTTCAAAAGAAGGCTCAGAGGGAAGCAGCCCTCTTCCATTTGCAGAAGATGTGGCGGGGCAGACAAAACGCAATGAGGACTATGGTACTAGGGTAGCCTCGTGCAGGGACAGTGGCAAGGAATGCGGAAGAAATGAACAAAAACAACTCTCTCCTGCTTCTTTCTCCCCAGTTCCCCAATCAACACCAGGTGGATTTATTCTCAAGTAAAAGCTTCTTTTGCCCTGGGGTTTTCCCCCCCTAAGGAATCAATTGCCTTTTAAAAAAGGACGCTAGTTAATCTGTCTTGTAAAACCAACAGTACATTTTCTATAAATGCACTTGGAAAACAGCCAATTATTAGGTGTTAGAGATGCTATTTTCCATGATTATTATCAAATAACCTTCCCTTCAACTGGTGTGTTTTCATACATATTGATGACCTATTTAATATATCATCACCTGAAGTAATTCATGTATAACACCCTTGAGAAGAGTTGCAGAGTATGCTGTAGGAGACCACAGGCTGTCAACATGTAGCAAAGACAGACTCACAATCTTTGAACTTGATCAGAAAGTCATAGTTCATCAACTTAAAGTCTAGAATTCAATGAGGAAGAAAAAAAAATATTGCTTAGGGTCAGTATAATATTACTAGCCCATAATTAACTTTCTAAAGTAAAGCACAGAGATCAGTCCAAATGAGCCACTGTGCAAGTATTTAACAGTTTTTCTGAGGTAGAAGAATTTGATCTTCCTGATTTTGAAAGACTGGGCTCCTAGAAGTAAAATATGGGATGCCACAACAAAGAAAGGAGGCTTTTCCGGTAGATAGCAATCCAGGGGCTAGCCTTCAGCGGGGTTCATTGAAACATTAAGAGGCACTACCACGAAACAGAGAGCAGCAGGTAAGAGTTAACAGAGGCAGGCGCTTGCTCTGCTCATTTGCTCTGGCTACTCTTGTGTGTCACATACACAGTCATTGCTGGCCTGGAAAAGACTATTCTGGACCTAAGTCAAATAGATGTATAGGACTCTTGTACGGCAATCATGGACTCTAAATACATCTATCTGCTCTTGCCGACTTTTTAAAATTTCTTCAAAATAAAGAAATAAATCATGGTCATAGAGATATGTATCAGAAGTCTTGGGTTCTAACTCCGGTTCGAACACGACATCATTACATGCAAGCTGCTTGATCTGAATGGACCTCCGTTTCTTTATCTGACACACGAGGAGATAGGATTTGACTGTGGACACCTCTAGAAGGCCCATGGGAGCCAGAAGCAACTAGGTCTTTACATGATAGAGGCATCAGATACTGGAGGGTCTATGGAATGCTACCGAGTATGATATATACTGGGGGGGGCGGGGGGAGTCATCATGCTTACTAGGACAGTCAGAATTCAGTCCCTGTCAATTGTCTACATGGGTGATTCCATATTGTCAGGTTTGTCAAGAAAAAATGGATGTGATTATTTCTGGTCAAATACTGTTATTTTAAATGCCACTGGGAAAACAGACTAAGTCGATGTCTGTGGGTGGGGCGGGACCTGTAGCCACCATGTTGTGACCTCCGCAGAGATGTTTCCAGCATCTCTGCTGTGTGGTTCTACTGAGGAATGCAGGCAGTAGGTGATCCTGGGAGTCCAGAGCGCTGCAGGCACCGCTGCTCTATTTAATCTTCTTCTCCCTGGCTCTCATTAACATATGGACACCATAAGGGATTAGAGCCACCACAGTCAGTGGGATGGATGCACTTTTACAGAAAGACAACAGGTAAAATAAAGGTTCCGTGTGAGTTGGGATCTTGATGAAGTGATAAAGTTGTAATGTGGCCAGTGAGGTCACCGCACAGAGCAACCGGAAGCTCGGCCTGCAGCCATTTTCTCCCCGGCAGCTCACAAGGAACATTTTTGAGTTGATGGCAAAACCCAAGCCAAAGAGAACCCCGAGGTTTCTCACAAGTCCAGCAAAAGGCGTGCTGTCCATGTGGATCCAGTCTGGGTTGGCACACCACTTTTTGGCTATAGGCACAGACCACAGCAGGTCAATGTCAAGCAGTCTGAGAAGCAGGTAAAAGCCAAGTGCAAATAGGAAGAGGAAGATGTTGGTCTTCAGGTACATATTCAAGCTGGCCATGTGGATTCCTGGAGTGTGTTCAAAGGCCTCTGCTACTAGCATCCCTAGGGATTGCAAAGAGATACTGCCATGAGTGTGTGACCCTGAGCCCTTCAGAAATCTCTCCCCTCTGCACTGGGGAGGGCTTTAGACACCCAGGTTCTAACAATTTCCTAAAGTGTTTTCAGACATTAATTGAAAACAGGATAGTCCTATAGTCTTTCCACTACCTACACGGCCAAGATGGATCAGTTAGAAGTCAGTAGCATTGAATGACAACCCATTTTACAGGCAGACCTCTAAGCAATACGAAGCAGCCACTAAGTGAAGTTAAGCCACGCAATAAGAACTTAGATAACTCAGAGTGTCTTGGCTGTGGGTTGCAGGGTTGTTATGAAGTCCCCCCAAAGCACGGTACATGACGAGATGGCTTGGAAGATGGACTTCAGTTACACCTCTCAGCAAAGCCCATCTCACCATGTAGTTATCCATTCTACCCGTGAGAGAGACTGTGTCAGCATGTGCACAGAGGCTCAGCGGAGAGAGATTAAATCACCTAAGCCCCCAATGGTAACATTTGTGTTAGTGGCTTGATAGAACTACCTCTGACACCAGAAAACTGATGACCAGGGCGCATCTGACACCACAGTGCACCAAACAAAGCAAAGGTGTTACCAACTAAATATAAAAGACTATACTTACCACCAATGACTCCAAGAATGACCTGATGAGGGAAATGTGTTGCTATGAATACTCTGGAGATGCAGACGCTGATTTGAATCAACCAGAAAACACTCCAAAGGAAGGACCAGGCCAGTCTGTGATGGAAGAATAGACACAAGTGTGAATAGCAAAGAAAATATAACACCTATAAAATTAGGTGTGTGACACCTGATAGTCCTTACAGGAATCTTCCAGATATGACATAACACAATTCTAGAGTCTCTTTTTCTTTTTTTTTTTTTTTTTTTTTTTTTTTTTTTTTTTTCGAGACAGGGTTTCTCTGTGTAGTTTTGCGCCTTTCCTGGAACTCACTTGGTAGCCCAGGCTGGCCTCGAACTCACAAAGATCCGCCTGCCTCTGCCTCCCGAGTGCTGGGATTAAAGGCGTGCGCCACCACCGCCCGGCTTTTTTTTTTTTTTTTTTTTTGGGAGTCTCTTTTTCAACAAGCCTTCACGTCTTCCATAGGATTCAAAAGCTTTAGCACAGGACCTCACATTCCTCAGTGCTATCTCCTAAGACTTTAATACATGTTTAAAAGGAAGGCGTGTAGTCAAACTTCTAACATGGGGGAAAGGGATGTGGGCATGAAGTCCCACTCCAACAGAGGAGCTACTGGCATTTGGTAGCCATGGAGAGGGGGAGAGTTAGGTTATTTTTTAAGAGTGTGACATCTGGTAGGTCCACCATGCTCCAGTCAGGCTCCACACCCAAGAATAGTTGAGTAACACAGTTTGCTCTTGATGAGTTTAAGAGACAGACAGAGAGAGACAGAGACCCAAATTGGGTTGCTAAGGAGGTAGGGGTGGATCTGGAAGAAGCTGGATGAGAGGAGATTTATATCAAGATACATTGTATGAAATTCTCAAGAATTATTATAAATATTATTCTTAAAGAGGAAGGCATTTTGATGACCTTGAAATAAGGGAAAAGGAACAAGGATGGTTCAGGTATGTGTGTGGGGGGCGGGGGGGGGGTGTTATTAATGTCCAGAATAATCAAGGATAAACCATATAGAGTTTTGTCCCCTGTCATTTGTGCTTCCTCTCTGCCCTGCACTCTCAGCTTTTCTTTGTTTAAAGAAAACACTGGAGAGGCAGCGTCCATTTAGATGAAAAGCTTGTGAATGTTCCACTGAGCCCATGGCGTCACTGTGTGTAATCTCACAGACTCTCAGGGGCCCTGATCATTGTATGATATATAGAAAAATAAAAAACCAAGAAGATATACCATATACATTCAATTAGAAACAGAAATGTTCAGAAAAAAACAGTGTAGAATAGTAAAATCCAAACAATTAAAAGAAAGCTGTATTTAGTGCCAGGCATCATCAAATGGCTTATTGTTTACAACTAGACCAAACTTTAGTTATAGCAAGATGAAAGATTAAAAAGAAGAAATGAGTCTGTCAAAGAAGAGGTACCAAGTGTTTCTCCAAAGGGAAGAAGAATTAACAAGTATTTGAAAATGTCAAGGTAAAGTGTAGGCACTCACTACATTTTCTTTTAAAGATTTAATTTATTTTTATTTTATGTGTATGAATGTTTTGCCTGCATGTACGTATAAAGTACCATGTGTATGTCTCTGGTGCCCCTAGAGGCCAGAAGAGGATGTCAGATCCTTTGGAACTGCTTTTATGGATGGTTGTGAGTCATCGTGTGGGTTCTGGGAACCAAACCTGGGTCCCTTGCAAAATCAGCAGTGCTTTTAACTACTGGGCCCTTCATCTCTTCATCTCTTCAGCCCCCCCCCCCATTAAATTTTTATAGATGAAGAAAATATTGCCATTACAAATGTCAAAAAGGAATAGGAATATTTGTTAGAACAAACATATTTTTCTAGGATGGTTAATTTGAGGGAAGAATGACCCACATCGACTTATTTCTTACATTATTCAGCACTACTCTTTAGAAGTAGAATAATTCTTCATTTTAGAAGAAATTTTATATACTGGTAATGGTTGTATGCCAGATTTTTTAAAAAGGTTGACACATTTTCTTTCTATAACTAAATTTTGGTCTACTTGTCAACAACGTAACATTCCTGGTACCCAATACAGTTTTTTTAATGGGTGGATTTTAATATTTGATTTCCCTTGTATGTTTCTTCTTCTAATCAAAACTGTACAATTTATGACTAAAGTGGTGTTTGCGATTGCTTTGATCACAAAGAATTTCAGAAGGAGAACAGAAGAAAAAGGCCAATTTCTACAATGGTATGTTATCTTAAAGTTCTATATGGGTCTACACATTAAGAAATCTGTTGGCAGTAAATCTAACATGCGAACTTAATTTTGCCTCTAGAATGTTTTAATTAAAAAGACTGCACAGATTTTAACAGCTAGAATATATTTTAGTGATCTTAAAAGCACTGAGTGTTCAAAGTAGGAAGCATAATTTCACTAGATAAATCAATGCATTCAAGAGCAGCGATGATTCTTAAAATTTTAAGTTAATCTTAAGGCAAGAGAACATGCATGCAAAAATGTTTCCTTGTGCAATTTTAGATGACTTGTTTAGGAAGCATCAAAATAATAATTGAATTTCAGAGTCCCAAAGGCGTATTTAACAAGTCATTAATCAGATAAACATTTCCAACTCAATTATAAAAGTGGTAATAGCTGTGAGCTAATTAGGACATTATCTTAAAGCAGAATATTCATTTCCCACTCATTCTGCTACATGGGCTGTGAAAGAATAAAATAAGCACATTTCACTGAATGACTAAAAATGTATTAAAATGAATATTTGGAAAGGACTTCACATATTCAATACTGTCTGGTTAATGCTACAGAAGCCGGAGCAAGCTGACCTGTGCAGAGTGACAGAGGACTTCTCCAGCTGGCTGACGGTGAAGCTCAGGGCAGCTGTTACCATGACATACCAGACACACGATGAGCCCATTGCGTGACCAGATGGACTTCCTGTAATGAGCATTGTTTGTTCAAAAAGTGGTTAACTAGGTATCAGGAATGAAACAACAGGACGTCATATTTCCCATGAAAATTTCAATAAAATAAGATAAAATAGAAGCCTCGTTGGTTATGGGTTAATATATACTGTATAGAAGTAGATAAAGCTTGAGTCAATTTGAGACTCAAATTCACCATTTCAAAAACTTTTTTTTTTCTTTAACAAAAGGAAGGAACAGAAAGAAAATTGCTAGAAATGACAGATTTTTCCTCTTGGTCCCTAGAGTAGCCCACACTTGACCATTATATGGACAATAATTGTTAGAGTTAAAAATTGCTGTGTCAAGTATAGGGAATGTGACTTCTCCAGACAATTCCACATAACATGGATATAAGAGGGCCATGAGAAGTCCTGACATGAACTTACAACATACACAATCAGCCATAACTTTGTGTAATTCTACCTTAACTTTCTTTAATGAAAGTGCTTTACGTATGAACTCTCTCCCTCCTCCAGATTTTCAAGGGGACTGAATGCTGCAAATCAACACATCCAAGTATAACTAAGAACATGGCCAGTTGCACTCAAATCTAACACAATCTTATTCATTCTTCGTATGTTGTTTTCAAAATTGACAAGACAATTAAAGTACTTCTACTGGATCTTGAGTCGATTTATTTTCCTTCAGCTATCAGACTATCGTTGGTCTGCTGTGGTTTACCGATTGACTTACAAACAACTGTGGTGTGTACGCCGAAACCAGAATGTGCATATTGTGTCCATTGCACTGAGAATCTTTGCTAAACAATGGAGAATCCACTCCACACAGACACTAAAGGGGGGTGTGAATCTTGACAGAAAACACCTTATTACCAGAACGGATGCCTTTCCTACACTGCTAGTTTTACTTTTAACCATTTTACTTAGGTGCCGGACATAACTTTTCACCCAGCAGAAAGCCGCTCGGGTTAAATACCAAACTATCTTGGAAAAACAAAGCACCAGGCACTTTTTTTTGTTGTTAAACATAGATGCACCCATTTTTCTCTGTAGGAATTCTTTTTCTCTCACCCCATATCCTGTGAAAAGAAAGAAAGAGATGCCAGGAAGTTTTAGGATAAAGGAAAAGAGCATTTTAGTCACCCCAAAAGCTATCCATCAATCCGTCTACCTACTCATCACATATTGAATACACAAATATACACAAATATGAAATACATTTAATCCTTGGCTAATGGGGCATACAGTTGGAGCAGCCAGATAGCTAAAGAATTAATTATGATATTAAAAATGCTGTAATATATTATTATTATATATAATATATAATATAGCATTATATATCATATATATGCTTTTATGAGAACAAAGGAAGATATTCAGAAATTCATTAGGAGCTCATGCATTTAGGGTTTGTTTCAAAGGACTGTCCAATGGCAAGAATTTTATGCTGTTCAACAAACTATGATATGGCACAATACAACACTTTCACAAAAGCTAAGGCAACGTATATTATATACATATGACATATATAAACATTTTACTCTCTTAAATTCAACTTCTACATATAGATGTCATACTTAATACAGACTCTTGTAAGTTAAAAACAGCCTAAGAAGCCTGCTAACATGCTGCACAGTCAAGAGCAAAAAAGGAAAAAAAAAAAAAAAGGTAGAGACACTGTGTACTGGCTACAGGAATACTAGAAGTCCTCATCTTTCTTATAAAACATGTCTTTCCCTCATTCATGAGATTCTCGGAAGACCTGTAGCCATGAAGCCACTGAACAGCAGACAAATCAACATTTCTAGACTTTTTTTTTTTTTTTTTTTGGTTTGATTTGGTTCTTCTAGACAGGGTTTCTCTGTGTAACAGAACAAAGCCCTGGCTGTCCTGGAACTCACTCTGTAGACCAGGCTGGCATCGAACTCACAGAGATTCACTTGCCTCTGTCTCCTGAGTTCTGGGATTGAAGGTATATGCTACCATATCCAGCCATTTCTAGACTCTTAATGTAGTTCTTTGGGACTTTGTTTTACTTACTGTTTTTTCATTAATTTTCATACCAAACCATTACTTCAAAAAGTAAATACCCAAGTATAAAATTATTTGGGAAGTATTCTCCCCACATAATCTTTCATAAATAACAATATAGAATTTGACTATTCATAAAATTCTTTCCTCCCTCATTAGCAATTTTTACAATAAATGCTAAGCATCCCCACTGGTGATATTTTCTTTGAGATCCTAGATATCATATGATTACAGGATGCTAATCATGCATAAAGACTTAGAATAGCATCCATGAAGTGAGGTTTCTTTAATTGCTTACCTGGGCCTGTTTCACATGTAGTAGGAAATTGTTCAAGACATGGGCTTGAGTGATTTGGGTAAATCTGAGTTTCTTGGATCCACCAGTAAGGACGATGCCCAAATAATATCCTGTAATTAAATGCATACGAATTTCACATGTACTTATATACAACAGTTAACTAAGTGGAGACTCGTGATTCTTATAAAAAATGACTCAAGTAAAGAGTCAAGGGGAAAAGCTCATAATTTAAACACCCTGAAATAACTTGGGTTTATTATATAGCTATCAGCACAGAGGATGGTAGTATCTGGAGTTTGGGCACCCTTGTCTCCCATAAACAGGGAAGTCCTGTGGGTGCTTTTGGGTGCTTAGAGTGGGACTCTCAAAATGTCCTTAGAATCATCAATTTCACCACTGTACTGTAACTTCTTGGCTAATCATAGTATATGTGTTACTGGGTTTTGGAATCACTTATAATTCAGTCAAAGTAAATATTTCTATACTTTTTGTAAGTTCTACTTATGAATCCTGGTGTTTCAAAGTAACCAATTTGTTTGAAGTATATTCCAAGTCAAACTACATGTGCCTGGAACTTGATCGTTGAGCTAAAATTACAAGTGTAAGAATACATTTTAGGAAAAATCAAACAAATCAGTAATCTTACCACTTGAATATAAGATTGAACCAGTCCCCTATGACGGCCACCCATATCATCTTGGTTCCAACGGTCTGATTCAGTTGAAACCAAAGTGGGAAGTAGACAGAAAAGATATTCCGGGGGTCTCCAACATCGGACATAAAGTTTAGAAAATCGTAGTAAGCCCTGTAGTCTCTCTGTAGATGCTGAATAATGAGCACTCCACTCCTGTGAAGGAAATCCATCATGAGAAGATGCGGGTCTAAACCTGAAGCCACTGGAACTGCGGAGCTCTGGGTCCGCCCATCTTTATATGGCACCCTTGTGATGTGCTGAGCCATTACATGTGATGCTGACCATCTGTGGAGAGGGCATGATGGTCCTCCTCCCCCGAAAAGTTCATCTGTTTGTGACTTTAATTGGTGGAAAAGGTGCAGTACGTGCTGATCCGGGCCATTTGGAGGGAAGCACAGTGGACTTCTGCCTCCTTCTTTTCTGTGAGCAGCTGGATCGTGTTTGCTTGAAATTTTTCACACAGTTCATTTCCCTCAAGGGCAGACATTAGCAATCTCTATGCTTGGCTAGCAGACTACATAAATAATTATTCCGTGTCAAATAAGCCTCAAAGCTGTGCATTTTAATTTCAGATAGACTGGCTTTCTGGCTGTTCTACTACATCTTTCGGGAAAATGGAAGGGTGAACTTTCTATTTGAAAATTTTTATAATTCAACAGATTAATTTCTGATGATAGGTTTGAAAAAATGATTGGGTAGGTCTTCACAATCTAAGATGACAGGATATGTATGGAACAAAGAAGAGGCTACAGGGGTACATGAACTCGGGGGAAATGTGTTGTTTACATGTTTGATTGTGAGGCCAAAAAAAAAAAAAAAAAAAAAGCAGACTTCCTTGGGTAATAGAAATGTGTTAAGACTAAACTATTACTATTATTACAATGTTATGTATGTCTGTGTGTCTGTCTATGGGTGCACACATGGCACGGCATATTATTCACCGAGGGTCCTAGGGCGTGAACCCAGACAATCAGGCTTGTGGAGCAAACACTTACTACCGAGCCGTCTCCCCGGCTCTACATTGCTTTTAACTGACGAGAGAATACAGTTGCGAGGTTTGGAACACAGCTTGTGACACAGATAGAAATCGACCACCGAGGGCTTCCCACCCATCAGGGACTTTCAACCATTTGGTTCGTTGAAAATTGCACGTTAGAAGTAAACGAGACGCACCCAAACAAACGCATAAACTGGGGTGAAGAGAGTGCAGCGTGGAGCGCGGCATGGAGACCGAGGCAGGGTGCGGTTCTGTTTCTGTCTAGTGGGGCTGGTGAGGGGGTCCACTAAACCCTTCCAGGCGCTGAAGGTGTGGCCAGCAATGCGCTACTCATCCCTCCATTCAGTGGTCTTTGTGAATCAGTCTCCTCTGCCAAAAACCGTCTTCACTGGCTACAGCTGTTGCTGTGACGATCGGATCATCTAGAGCTATCCCATCATTCTACAGGATCAGTGTTATGGACAGGCTGTCCCTATGGGTACCTCGCTGACCTCTGTTGCCTCCCCTGGAAGAAATGGATTGACTGGCCATTAAAATGTTTGGGGGCACTTTACAGTGAGCATAGTTCTTTTGATAAGAGGAAAATGGGGTGGGGGAAGGACTGGCCTGTGTCTAACATACATTGATTTAGTAGAATTATTCTTTTTTTGTTATTTAAAAAAATTTTTTTTAATTCATTTTACATACCAATCACAGATCTTCCTCTCATCTCACTCCTCCCACTCCCCCTCAGCCTTCCCCATCAACTCACCCCCCCAACCCCTCCTCCAAAAGGGTAAGTAAGGCCTCCCATGGGGAGTCAACAAAGCCTGGTACATTCAGTTGAGGCAGGGCCAAGCCCCTCCCCACTGCATCTAGGCTGAGCAAGGTGTCCCACCATAGGTAATGGGCTCCAAAAAGCCACTTCATGTGCCCAGGATAGATCCTGATCCCACTGCCAGGGGCCCCTCAAACAGACCCAGCTGCACAACTGTCTCCCGTATGCAGAGGGGCTAGTCTGGTCCCATGCAGGTTCCACAGTTATCGGTCTAAAGTTTGTGAGTTCCTACAAGCTTGGAACTGTAGATTTCCCCATCATGATCTTTCCCCCCTCCCCCGCCCCCCTGCTCATATAATCCTTCTTCCCTCTCCTTGATTAGACTCCCAGAGCTCATCCTGGTGCTTGGTTGTACATCTCTGCATGTGCTTCCATCAGTTACTGGATGAAGGCTCTATGATGACAGTTAGGGTATTCACCAATCTGATTACCAGGGTAGGCCAGTTCAGGCACCCTCTCCACTATTGCTAGTAGTCTAATGTGGGGTCATCCTTGTGGATTCCTGGGAATTTAATAATAGCCAGAACCTGGAAACAACCTAGATGCCCCTCAACCGAAGAATGGTAAAGAAAATATGGGGACCCACAGAGGCTCCCTACTAAGGCCTTACTCAAGGTCAGAAAGTCTGAGCTTGCTTTACTCACCAGGGCAGCATAATAGGATGATCTGACCAGGGGCATGGTTACCAGGTGTTTTGAAGGGTCTACACTTGGTTGTACATTGTGCTTTGATCTTGAAATGGGGAGGTCTTTTGCCTCTCCCCTTGCTGATATATAAAAGGCCCATTATGAATAAAGTTGAGGCGGCTGGGTATTAACCCAGGACCTTCCAGAAGTTATCCTGTGTCTAAATATATATTTCTTCCTATTATTTCCCAATTCCTCACTCCTCCCCTCAAGAACCCTTAGAGAGGTCGGGGCTGGCCCCTGACAGGTGCATATACACAATGGAGTATTACTCAGCTGTAAAAAACAATGACATCATGAAATTTGCAGGCAAATGGATAAAACTAGAAAATATCATCCTGAGTGAGCTAACCCAGACTCAGAAAGACAAACATGGTATGTACTCACTCATAAGTGGATACTAGATGTAAAGCAAAGACTACAACCCCCAGCTCTAGAGAAGCTAGGAAACAAGGAGGACCCTAAGAGGGATGTACTGATCACCTTGGGAAGGGGAAACAGAGGAGATCTCCATGAGTAAACCAGGGATGGGGGGGGCAATAGAGGGTAGGGAATGGGGGATAAGAACATGAGGGAAAGGGATTGTTGATCTGGGGGAGGGATGGAGTGGGAGAGCAATGAAAGAGATATCTTGATAGAGGGAGACATTATAGGGTAAGGGGGAAACCTGGTGCTAGGGAAATTCCCAGGAATCCACAAGGATTATTCTTAACTGGCAAGTAGATACCTCAGGCTATCATGGGCAATGACCTTGTCTCATCCCAGATCCACTGAATGCTTGGTGGTGGGATCTCAGCATTGGTCATATAAAAATACTCTGATTCCAGTGTAGAACCTGGGCTTAGAATGGCTGAGCTCAGACAAGCCATATGCAGCATTTGCCTTGACCATCCCACGTCTATCCTTCAGGCCTTTCTGTTTTACATATTCAGGTCCTTTAATTTCCATAATTTCTTTAATGAGCCACGAGGAAAGACATAACTTCCCTTTATTCTTTTTCTAAGCAGTTTTTGAGCTACATAATTCATGATATTCATTTTCTTCAGAAGTGCCTCGTCCTTAAATCAGGGTACAAATGATATCAAATGCATTTTTGTTTTACAATTAAAAATTAAACTTGGTGCTCATTCGACATTTTGGAGTCTATGGACTGGGATGAAGGTGACTGCCCACTTGCTCTTTATCTTGGGTATTAATGTAGACAGTCTCTGTGTCTCCAGAGAGCTCCAGTTCTGCAGAAGGAAAAGTATCTCAATGTCCTATTCCCTTTAATGCAATTTGCTAAATCTTTTGACTCTATCATGGTTCGCTGAGTCTTTTCCTGTCTTTGCTCGGTGCACATTCTCAGCACCGCCTTCTCTGAACAGATCCCCATCGCTCGCTCTCAGGCGTTCTTTCTAGGGCAACATATTCCTCTGCTAAGGCTGCCTGCAGAGAGAGAGTATCAGTCTGGGGTGTAGCAGGAATCTTAAAAGTTCTTATTAATAAAATCAAACCTGAGGCGAGTTATTGGGGTCCATGCTGGTAGATCAGAGAGACAGAACGAGCCACAGCTATCTCACCTTGCCATTTCCTCAGCTGGTCCTGTTTCCCCAGACTGGAAGCTTCTGTGTCCTCATCCCAATGAATCTCAGCTGAACTGCTG